CTGTTACTTTTAAAATGGAAACAGGGCCTTTACCTTTTGTTAACAGTTGCCCGGCTGGTCATCTGACGACAAGAAGCAAGACAGGAAGCAGCAGCAGATCAAACGGCTGCAGGAGATCAACGCCAAGCGGCGAGAGGAGAGGGTAAGAAATGAGGGGGTGTGCCAAGCCCTGAGGACCAGTTGGAGTGTGGTGTTACCAGTGGCTGTCATCCTGGCTCCCTGCAAAACATTGACATATGTGCTGCTATTGATGACCAGTGGTTGTTTCCCTGGCACCCTGCCAGACATTGCCACGTGTGCTGTCATTGACAACCAGTGGCTGTTTCCCTGGCTCCAAGCTAGACAATGCTGTATGTGCTGTAACCACAGGTGACCTGTCGGGCTACTTTCAATGCAAATACATTGCCATACTAAGCTATTTGTAACAAGTGAAATCTTGGTTGACCAGTACAAATAACTTGATCCATTCATGTGTTCATTTACTCAACTCAATAATAAGCCGCCAGCCCATTGAGTCAGCTTGGGTGGAGTTGTAACCCTGGCCTAAAGCCTGCCTGTTGCATTGTTTCTGTGACTTATCAGCTGGCCGGCGAGGAAGAGAAGTTACAGCAGCTGAAGAGCGTGCAGGAACTGTTGGAAGACGAGGACGAAGAAGGATACCAGGTGATTGTGAATAGCAACTAGAAATTTATGATGGTCTGGCTGATATGATAGCTGGCCTTGTGGCTTGTAGTTTGGCCAGCTGGCATTTTGAAATGGCAGGCATTTTGGCCTGTGTATTGGCTGCCTGACATTTTTTGGCCTTCGATTCCAACTTGGATTATTTGGTTGACTAGCCAGCTATGGGGCATGTATAGATAGTTTGCCAGCTAGCCATCAAGTTTGGTTTGCTGGCTTGCTAGAATACTGGCTACTTACTGACTGGCTAGAAGGTTAAGTCAGTGGCCAACAAGTTGTGTCGGCTGGTGTTAAAGATCATTGGTAATAATTGATGGCTTGCAAAAATGGCCAACAAGTTGGCTAGTCTGGTCGACCGAAATTTTCTGTAGATGACCTGATGTATACATTCGATCTTACATTGAGACAATCACATCGTGTGGGTTGTTTAAGGAAGAAAAAACAAGTACATTAAATGGACGGCGATTTGTTGGTAGGTAAATAGTTTTTGAAATATAAGTGACAAAATATAGTAGGAGAAATGTATTAATTGACAATCATTAAGATATCACAGTTGATAGCAATTTTTTTTAGTACTCTTGTGCTTAATCAATCCACACTCAGACAGCTCTGCGGGAGCTTGGTTACTCCTCCGGGGCAGAGCTTCAGTCCATGGTCGACAAGCTGAACGAAACCATCCAGAAGATCAAGGACAAGATACAAGGGGTGGAGTCTAAACCGACCAGCCAATCACAGGCCGATGGCTCTCAGACTGACCAATCACATAAAGACGACACTCGGTCAAAGGTATATGACGAGTAAAAGGAGAATTGGCACCTTGTCTTTGGCTGCTTTTCCTTGTTTACGAGCTTTAAGTGAATTTGTGTCATAAAGCAAAGTCTCAATTAGGAATGTAAAGAGTTTGAGGGGGGCCTACTCCTCTTCATCAGAATCTCATCTAACCGAGTTTTTTCCAGCAGTGTTTGTCTAATTTGATGAAGTGATGCTGTTTTCAAATTTATCCATGAGCTTTGAGTAGACTGATTGCACCTGCTAAGTCACGTGACCTATAGTGCGTATTAAATATCAAGAAACACGGCGTCCACCAAAAGCAAATTGTTTCGTAAATATCGTTTACCAAGAATAAAGCCGACGGTACGTACCGTACTCAGACTACTGATGTGCTGGTTATTGTACCATAACCTGGCTGTATTGTTTGTAAACAACACTCAAAACACATGTTGCTATGGGGTTGATACCCACCATAGGTCACGTGATTTAGCAGGCACTATCGGTCTATTTGTGGTTCATTTCATCCAGCCTTTGGTTCATCACTTTTTGCATGAGGAAAACCAATATTCAGAGCGGTGAACTGGGACTTGTGAGTGGATCTCTGAGTTTGCCAAAAAACCTGGCATTTATACACTTCCATATTTCCCTGTTGCCTTGGTAATCTGTCAGAGCCCAGGAGCTGACATCAAGGATCCTAACAGTGAGCAAGGTAACGTGTGTGATCTGGATCTACTGCTGAGGGACGTGGATCAAGACTACGACAGGTAAAAAATTTTAACAAGACCAGACTACTGCATCCAAATGAATGGGATGTGCTTCACTACCAATCATAAGCTGGACCAAGAGAGGGCGCAATTTTTCTAGCAACAGAGGCTCCTTTGGTGAGAACTGCACTTTGCTGGTTCACAAATGACTTATCGAATGTCTGTGTTACTGTTGCGTTGCTTCTAACAAAATGAACACTTCCCACCAACATGGCTGTCTTAAACCAAAGAGGGGGTGCTTCTGCTCAAGAAGGATGCAATCCCTTGTACCTGACCTATAATAAATCTATTTATTTTCTTCTCCAGCCAAAATGTTGATTGTCTCTTGAGCATTGGGGAACTCTGGTTCAAACTTGAAATTAATCAAGAAACGTTTTTACAGTAAGCAAACAAGCCCACAACCTGCTGCCAGAATGACCTTTGACCTTGCCGAGTACTACCAGCTGCAGCTCAGCGTGGAGCGAATACGCATTCCTGAGATTGTGTTCCAGCCCTCGATAATGGGTCATGACCAGGCAGGCCTGGCCGAGACCCTGGAGCATGTGCTGAGAAGCTACGACAGCAAGATGCAGGATAGGCTGGTGCAGGTAAGAGATGAAGGGCATGGGACTTGGAGGAAAAGGGATGTGGAAAGTCATAAAAGCTGGACATATCATGGTTAATAATTAATGGGCACAGACCTTGGAAAATGTTGTGAGGAGTTCAGACAGCAAGATGTAAGATAGGCTGGTGCAGGCAAGGCAGTCCTGTATGATTCAAAAAGTGTGAGGTGAAGGGGTGGGGTTAGTGAGTTATAAAAGGGGCATGGTGAGTCCTTAAAGCTTAGTTGGCCACAGGCAGTGATTTGTAAGTGTCAGTGGAGACCTTATAAATGTCATGAGTTATGACAGCAAGATGTAGGATGGGCTGGTGTGGTGAACGATGAAAGGGGTGGGACTAAGTAAAAGGGGTGTGTCCAGACGAGACAGACAGGAAACAGTTTGTGTTGGTTTTCAATCATTGATGGATGGCCACACCCAAATGGGGAGACCTTAAAACATGCACTGAGAAGTTTCGACAGCAAGACCAGGGAAAGACTAGCACAGTCCAGGGAAGAGGTAGGGAAAAGGAAAGGAAAAATGAGTGTCTCTCGTCAAAGAGGGCGGGGCAAGATATGACTCGATCACCAATCACTAGCAATTAGAAATGAGCTGACAGGACCTGCAGTAAGGACTCACAACAACATGGAGTATCGTGAGTAGTTTTAGGGATACAAGTACTTGTATGTTCTTGAGACCAGGTATACACGATTCGGATTCCCATCTCAGTTCTTCCTGTGTTTTTTTTTTCTGTTCACCAGAGGGTTTTTCTGACTGGCGGTAACATGTTGTACCCTGGTATGAAGCAGCGAGTTGAAGCCGAGCTGCTGGCCATGCGACCATTCCAGTCCACATTCCAAGTCTTCGCTGCAGGTACACCCAGGAATGTAACAGCAGACAGCTATTAAACCCAACATGTCCCCCTCTCCTCATCTTTCAAAGTCTTGTCACACCAAAATCTGGTTCAATATTTTGCAGTGTCCATAATAAACTGCTGCCAGTCCATCACAAGTTCATAATTCGTTGCAAGTCACACAGTCTCGAGCCAAGTCACAAACTATTCAAAAGAAATTGTGAGAAAGGCATTGCTTTATCATTTTTTGCTCTGCTGTGTGTGCCTTGGTTTCGCGAAAAGGACTTCTGATGGACTTGAACATAACACAGGTCTTTGTAAGCATGTGGCCAGTTTCAGATACAAATTGTTTTTTGACAATCTACATTTTACCTCAAATTAAAACAGCTTCTAAGCAACTTTGACAATCAATTATTCAATGTAGATCTTACTTCCGTTCAAATACTCTGTTTTAGCCCCAAAGTCTGCAAGTCCGTTCTAGATCCCAACTTCACCCCCAAATTTAGAGAAAGAAGCTTCCTTCTTCTGTTAACCAGGAGATCCGGTTCTTGACTCCTGGCACGGTGCCAAGAAGTGGGCCAGTGACGCAGCATTGGCCGGGGATTGCTTCGTCACGAGGGAGGAGTACCTTGAGAAAGGCGGGGAGTACCTCAGGGAGCATGCCGCGTCCAACCGGTTCAGGCCCAACCCCACAGTGATTCGATCATGACAGGACAAGGAGAGCCATCAGCCTTGTGGATGATTCACTGAGGGCGCCATACGCTCACAGTACTGATGCAAACTGCTGTCTGTGTACAAGGAATCAGTAGCTACCATGGACATTTCTATGCCTGATAGAGCAGAACTTCATTGTGAGATGTTACATGGACCTCTGACATGTGTTGGCTGTGTGCGTGAACTGAAGAGGGCACCCATTACCTTTACTGGTGCTACTTTCCAAAGTGCAGAGGAGCAAGGGACGACTGCATCTCTACAGCATTGATGCCCAGTAATGCAGGCCTCATAGTATACGCCTTCTCATTCATGGAGGTATATCACGACCACTGCACATTGTCAGCACAGCCGAACGCTACCACAGCAACCAACATCAGGTGCACCTAAGATTGTCAGGAGAGATTTTCAGCCGTAGCAAACAAGAAAACAAGGCGACAAATCTCGCCCACATAACACGTAATGAGTCAATGACGCTAGCACTTGTCAATCCACGCTATTTACTGTATGTTTGGGCATCCGGGATTAAATGTTTGTAATCAATACTTTATTTCATTAACCTTGCAACTTAAAATTGACAGAATTGAAGCTTAATAATTGTGTGATGTTAGGAACCAAAGATATTCATGAATATCCCAATGTTCGGTCAGCTTCAGGCAATGATCATTATAGCATAAGAAATAACCGTTTTTCACATAGCTCTTTTAACTAAGTTTTTTCAGCACCTCACATTATTATCTCTGATGATGATCATTGGACTGATTTACGTTCCAAATAACATCTCAGGTCCTTGAGAAGTGTACAGCTTGATGCTGCCATTTTGGAGCAAGGCAGCCAAAATCACGCACAGTAACCATCTCTGCCCTCACAGGCACCCATTTGTACTCCTGGGTAGGGGAGAGGCAAGGGGGAGTAAAGCGACTTGCCCAAGCTCACACGTCACCAGCTGCTGGATTGGAACCTCAGACTCTATGTTCATGAGTCACAAGCCACTTGGCCATACGCCTCACGTGTGGCATTACTTTCCGGCAGTACTTGCCAGTGCATTATGTTGTCCCCTTTCTTCTTTCGCTCCCAATTTGCCAATTTCATGGCAAGTGCTAGTTGCATTGCTGTCATGAGAGAAAAATCTGCAACCTTTGTAAAATTGTGAAAAATCAGTCCTGTCAAATGAAACACGCATAACCAGTAGACATTTCATGGACGTTTTGTTTTATTGAATATTTACAAAGCAATGATATGCATTTGTTTTAAATTTTTTGTTCCTCTTTTTCTACTTTAGAATAATAAAGACATTTTATTACAAAAAAAGTTGATTTTGACAAGTTTTTAACTTCTAATAATTAACACGAGTGTACCTATACTTTTTGGGTAAAGTACAGTAGCAACCGTCCATTGAAGCCAATGCAGCAAAATATTTTAAAATACTTTGCAACTGTATCACCGAATTTCACACAAAGTGAAGGAACATGTCAACATAATGAGGTATATCAACAATAGTACTACAGACATTTTGGTTTCAGACTCGAAACATGACCCAAAATATGCAACCAAACATGATCATCCATATTCTACACAAACACAACGTTCTGCCACAACCACCAAAACAGATGGCCAGCTGGTCTCTCGCCATCTTTGGAGGGGGAAAAAAAGATATTGACACTGGCCCCTTACAGGAAAACTGATGTTAGAAAATGCCTTTAACACGTTGACTGCCGCACCTAAGGGTGTTCCCATTTGCCAAGCGTTGTACGCATGCATACATATTAAACAGGTACCTTTCAGGTGTCTATTTAAACACGAGCAGTTTACACACGTTCATGTATGTCCTCAGTATTGCCAGCAGCGTATTTGTTGTGTCCTTTGGTGATACCAGTGTATTCAGTTTACATCACAATAGCTCTTCATTTCCTACGAGTATACTCGTAGTGGTGGAATCTGGTACACCTGTGACGAGTATACTCATAGACAGCAGTCAACGTGTTAATATAAAGATGCCATGGGAAAATGCCATTTGAGCCTAATTAAAAGACACTTCTTATCAAGTTGGAATACGTTCTTAAGAGCTCCAGGCAGAGACCACCCAAAACCTAGGGCCGCAGTTCATTTTAGGCTTGTGCAAATTTGCAGTTTGAACGATGTCTCCAAATACTGCTCCAATTTTTGGATGCCATTTGGTTCCCGGTGGTTCCTTCCCCCTCCCCCCCACACCAACTACCCCCAAAATGTCTGGTCTGTTGTAAACAAAGCAAACACTTCACAAGAAAACCAACAGGGACACAAGTGGGATCTGCTTTACCAGTGTGCAGCTGAAGTCTTCCTACAAGTAATCTAAATTTGAAGGGGAAAAAAACAGGTGCAAGAAACCTGCACTTGCACACCAACAGGGACCATTAGAAATGGTGTGGATACAGGGTACTTACGCCGCCCTGAAAAACTTGGTTAAATTACCATTTTGTGCAGTTACTTCAGGGAAAACAAGGCTTACGATGTGGGATAACATTACCACACAAAATGGTGATTTAACCACCCATTTTTGCGAGCCACGTGTATGTTCTCTACACATACCATTTCTAATGATCTCTATTTCAGCTTGTTTCCACCGAGGAGAGATTTGTTTTTGAGCCATGTGCGGGGTGCGGAACAGGTGAGAACCAGTCACACAGAATAAGCAACACATACAGTAGTTCTTTTTTTTTTAAGTGGCAGCCTGGTTTTTGGTAAGCAAATATTTGAGGACGCTTAGCAGCAAACTTGGCCTCTGCTGGTCAGACATGCAACAGACAACAATGCTGGAAATGTTAATTACTTGAGCTGGAAGTCCAGCAATAAAACATGGCCATCGAATATTGACTCTGTAGAAATATTGCAACCACAATCAATCTACCAAAAATGTGGGATAAGAAAAAGAGAAGATAGGACAAAAATTCAGCCTACCCAATGTAACAATATACAACACATCATTGAAAATATGAAAAATAAGGGAAAGGAAAAAGAAATGACAGCAGCAATAAGGAACTTACATGTACACTAGAGTGTTGTAATCGAGTCCAGTCACAAGGCCAGTCACAAGGCCAGTCATAAGTAGCCGGGTGAACAATGACCAAAGAATGCTTTTGTCACAGCTCATTTGAATAGCTTGTGAATTGGCTTAAGACTGAATGACTTGCGATGGACTTATGATGGACTTGAATACAACACTGGTACTCTGAGGCCTTGTTTCTTCATTTGAGTAAATGTCAAAGGTCAGCAACTTTCCTGACACTAAAATCCACAGTTTACCAACCAATTTCTTTACTTTTGAATACGAATCAGGTTTGTGGTTTGCAACTGAATGTGTAAAATGAACTAAAACAGAAACTGAATGTGTAAAATGAATTAAAACCAAAACTAATTGAATAATACATCATCAAAAAACAGGTGCCAAAGCCACTTGGCAAGTAATACATAATGTGCTTCTAAGTTTTCACAAATGCCAGTTGAGGGTTCAATGCATGTGATATGCACCCCATTTTTTGCATTAATGTGTGTTCAGGAGAGACTCCAACTCTTTCAGACACATTTACATCTGCATTTTGGCACGTCACAAACGTAACTGAGTGTGTGCCTACAACCTGTGTTAAAGCATGGCTCCTTAAAAGTGAACGTTCTTAAAAGTGACAGCAGACATAATGGTCTTGTTTCCAGTGTTCTCAACACCCACAAGCAGTGCAGTGAAACAAAAAGTGCTTGTGCTCATACCAATGGAAAAGCCAGACCCGCAACACACAATACTTACGTTGGAATTTGGGAAGAGTTAAACGTCATGAGATCGGTTACTAGACACATTGGCAAGACCATGCTCAAATAAACACAAGTTTCCTAACACCAATTAATACAATAATTAATAAAAAGAAAAACTTCGACAGACTATATGAAGACATGAAAATTAAGCTATAAATACCCATTCCTTTCTTTCTCCGTAACTCTTCAAAATTAGAGTGCCTAAAATAAAATGTAAATGTACATTTGGGGGAAAGGAGACTAGGTGTCTTTTTATCCATTGAAATATTCTGGCAAACTAAAGGGCACTTAAATAGAACTGCATTCCATCTCCCGCATAACTAACATCACAATTCAACTGGTTCAACTGAACAAAAACAGAACAAATTCACTCTCCCTGTGGACTGCATATCTTAACATGAATTTGAATAACAAATAATTCTTTCCATTCTGAAATAAAATACTTTCTTTTCTGTGAACTCCAACACCTTTGTCAAAATCTGTAGTATCTTTCATTCCACAACTTTGCAATAGGGCTTCGTTTACATGTACATGTACTTTCTTTTATTTGTTTTTTTTTATTTTTGTAAGCCTAATTTGCTCTCAATAATCTCAACAACTTTTTAAATACACAAGCAATATCACTTAAAGACAAAGATAATGCGTAAAGCCCTTCATCTCACTTTCTATGGTCTGATCAAACTGGAAGCCCAGCAAAGGCATCAAGAAGCTGAAATGTGAAAATCTCCTATACTTTTGTACACAGCCAGTGACGAAAAAAAAAGCGGACATCCAAAACAAAAAAAGCTGAAATCAGCTAAAAAGCTGAGAAATCTCACCTCTGACAATTTCCTCCAAAGTCTGTGAAGAATTTCCTTTCACAAAGAGAAAAAAATTTGGTATTCGTAGAGCAACGTTAGCTTAGGTATGTGTATTCAATTAATTCGCTTCCATCTAGATTCTCACTCTACAATGTCAGACAAATTTAGCACCATTTTTGTACAAAACACAGTGTCCCACCGAGTTGTCATGTGTGACCTGCTCTGTGAAAATGAGTCTTAAGTCGCCAAAGCCACTTTGGAGTAAAAAGTCCTTTAGAATAATTTTGCGCAGTGTAAATCAATAGGAACCCACAGCATTTTTCACTATGGAGTATCCACTTTCATCAAGATGCCAAACAGGGAGAAACACAAAACAAAAAAACTCAATTTGCTCTTTCCAATACAAATGGAAACTCAAAAATGCCTCTGGCAACTTAAGACTCATTTTCACAGAGTGGGTCACATGTGACCACTCACATGTTCAACATTTAGAGCGGCCAAGTTGGCTCTTTTTCTAAAGGTGTTCCAAACTAGAAAAGCAAAGATCTGGATACTATTGTGCTGTGTCCCGACCCCAAAATGTTAGAAGATATAGCACTGTAAGAGAGTCACTGCTTCCCCATGCATTCAGAGGTGGACACTAGACGACATTTCAATGCCTCTGAGCTGTTGTGCCAACACTTGGTGCCTTTCTCACGTGGGAAGTCATATTTGTGCGCATTCAAATGAAAATCATTCACAAGCACTCCGTGACCCCTTTGGGCACTAACCAGAGCATGCACTTGTGATGCGTCCTTTGCCTCTGGCATGAGGGGTCACGCAAAGAAAGCACCCTCTACAGTTTTGCAGAGCACAGGAATGCACTGCCACGTAATACCATGCAAGCCTCTTTGGTAACTCTGTGCTCTGATGTGATTTGGCGACTGAATGCAGTGTCATGAATATTCACAACTTTTAAGGCGACAACTTTTTTGGAACAAACTCCCAACATTATGAGCGCCATTTATCTTCAGTATTTGAAAATCAACAGTGGACTGCGACATGTTACAGACTCCCTGAGCAACAATTGTAATAATTTTATCAAAACAGAGGAAAAAGTCCCAAACATCTGAACTGAACTCAAGCCGACCAATTAAGGAAATCTAATCCAATTGCCTGATTACCTCTTGGCACAAATTTTCTTACCACAATTATTGAACTAAAATCATATTGTCAGCAGTTTATAGCTATGTATACAGGCTTATCTGTACAGAATACCAATCCCTAAAGCAAAGAAAAAAGAATGAAAATCTTTCATATTGTCTTACAGCAATGCTACCTCCACATGCTTTCTTATAATTATTACTTTTTTACACTATACAAAACCTAATTTTCGAAGTCTTATGAATTTCATTCGAATGTTGTTGATTAAACACAGTTTGACAACATGATAAACAAATGGAAATAGTTGTACCACACTTGTGAGATTCAAACAAATCCAAAACTTCAAAAATCATCAGAAGTGATTTAATAAATACTTGAGTCAACAAAAGCCTTCAAAGAAATTTTTCTTTCTTGGGTCGAACTGGCCCTCTTCCGGCACAAATCACTCTTTTACTAACGTACCACTTGCCAAGGCTCAGACCTGATCACTCTGGAACCTGAGAGTCAATTGCTTCCTTCCCCCAAAGCATAAGCACCAATGCCTATGATTGGTCAGTTCCTCACTCGGAACCACGAAAAAGAAATTAACAGAAAGTCCACAAAGAAAGACACACTATGTTTTGCGAGGTACTCTGCTTAACCTTCCCTGAAATTTTTTTTAAATTAGAGAGTTCCTCCCTTGTTACTTTTCTCGGTGTTTACGATGGAGAATAAGGTCAAAAAGTCCAGTAAGATCCAGCCTCTTATGGACCAACATCTGTGATTACTCATTTCACCATAAAGAAATAACCACGGTTTATACAACAAATGACATGATTGGTCACTTTGCAACCAACCAACAACCACAATAAAGCCCTTACACATGTTTATAATGTGGTCTTAGCATGTGCATTTCCCACACACAGATCCCCACTTACCATTGGTCATGCCAAGAATGGGGCTTGGAAGTCAAAAACGACGACTGGCCATTCTACTGCAGAAAAAAAATTCAAGTTGATCCCTTTTTTATATTTTTTTCAGTGGGGCCTACCACCTGCGCCTGTTTCAGATGGGTTTCGTTGTCTTCCAGGCTTCTCCAAGCCCAGGCCTTCATCAGGGAATGTGTTGCCATTGCTGATATGTTTCTTCAGACCCCCGTTGAGGATATCCTTGATGTGTTGTACAATCAGCTCAATTGCAACTAAGGGGAGGGAAGAAAATGAGAGACCAGCTTGGTTACAGACGAACGTCAGCTTCTGACTCTTTCTCTGTCGGCAGCAAAAGGGAGACAGATGCCTGATCCGTCCACAATCAGTCGAGACGCCATTTCTGTCAGGACACCTGTGCCTACTTAAGCTGCACTGGCTGTAACCATGACTTGGCACAGCCACGCACACACAATGCAAAAGTTATATCAATTCCAAAGGCATAGACTATCAAATAGCCTATTGACTGTATTTGACCAGTCACAATGTGGACTGCGTAAGAGATCCGACTGTTGGAGACCAGGGAATGGATTTTGGACTCTCTGTGACTGTTTCTGAGAGGAGGAAGATTTAAGGCCAACTGAATCTACATATACCAAAAACCTATTTAGGCATGGCATAGACCAATTAAACACTGTACACCCAGTCAACATTACATGGGACTTGGTGTCGCAAAACGCATCACTCGGTCATTGAAAGTTAAGCTTTGATGGATTGCCAAAACCTCTTTGTGACAACTACAAGGGCGGGCTTATGAACAAGTGAGCAATGCCAACTCTTCCATCAAATTATTCCCAGCACCAAAATCGTATAGTCAGGAACAACAGCAATCAGGAAATCTCAACAAAGTGTTGTAGTATTGGGACCCCCTTTAACCCCCCCTCCTAATTTTTTTAAGGTACGGGTACATTTACCTCCTCCCAATTTGCGCGTGTTTATTCTGGCATACAGTGTCTACTGCTGTTTCACGTAGGTATCCTACCTTAACATGAAACAGCTGATGATGCAACTGCCTGTGGGACACTTGAAGGTTGTGTGGTGGCCTTTGTACTATGGGTCATTCTGATCCAAGCCTTTAATGACTGAATACTGACCACCACACCAATCTCAACTAGTGTCCATTTGTTTTCACCTATACAGTCTCCCTTTCCTCTTTAATGTACACCTTGCAACGGCTAATCCAGTAGTCGTTGGGGGTGCAACAACCCACCCCTTAAGGCTGGTCCATACTTCAGGCGAATGCAAAAACGAAGCCAATTTGAGGCCACGAAAAATTTCTACCAAATTTCGCCCCAGTTAAAATGTGTGCAACTTTTGCGAATGAATTCGCAATGCAAATATTTGATCATGCCCTCACAGTTTCCCATTCCTGTTCACGCAGAATACGAACCGGCCTTTATGCTCAAAACTTTTCAAGGGGTATCAACTCCCTCGAGCAAGGCGGGCTCAACCTCATCCACAAAAAGTCCTCCCAAAACCTCCATTCGGATCTTGAAAGTTCTGGGCCACTTAGCGTGGAAGAAAACCACATCGCATACCTATGTTTTCAGCGCCTCTGGGAATGATGATGTCTGCGTATTTCTTGGTGGGCAGGCAGAACTCTTCAAAGGCCGGCTTGACAAATTTGACATAATGCACAAGAACTTGCTCCAGTTCTCGCCCTCTATCATTGATATCACGAACAACTGGGAAGAAAAAAAATTTCAATTTTTATTGTTCGGGTTGAGGGAAAAAAACCTCATTAATTTGCCTCATGAATATTCAAAACTCCTTCCCATTCAAGATTCAGTGGCACTTCAATTTTGGCTTAGATTTTCCGAGGGGTATCAAGTGCCGTTCCAAGGAAAAGCGACTGGGTTCAACCTTCCTGAATCCTTCAAGATCCTCCAAATGGGCCCAAATGGATGCGGAAGGGTCTCATTGGGAACCCTGTGAGGACTGCCAAACTAAACAAAATGAAGATGACCCCGAGTGAACTTTTCGTCTTCCGGCTTTCATGCACATTTTAAACTGGTCCTGTTCAGGAGGTGGCCATACTGAACTGAAAGCAAGATTAACTGGTCATTTAGGGAAACTGAAAAAAAGAGTGGAAGCGATGAAATAAAAGATCATTACAGCTTTTAATGATGCCGGAAAGATGAAGAATAATTTCAAATTTGTAATAACTCATATCTAAGTGTTTTAAGAGACATTAAACAGAAAATGAAGGTGAGGCTTGAAATCCCAAATAGTCTGTCACCACTCCATTTAACAGATTACACGGAACAATACTGATTCAGGGAACACTATCAACTTTCAATTTTCAACGGTTACCCCTTCTGGACAGTCTGGTGTCGGCATCGGTGTCCACGAAGAGCTTCATGTGGAACATGTCTCGGACCTCTTTATTGTAGAATACCAAAATACCCTCGAAAAGCACCACATCAGCCGGGTAGATCACTGTAAACTCTTCCGCTTTCCTGAGAGAGGGGAAACAATTCACTGGTAAATTTTCTCTGAGTACATTAATGTAACCAGTACATTAACCCATTTGAATGCAGGATGAGATTGACCATGAGAAAACAGCTGGAAAAAAGGCATAAAGAAGCTGAACTGTAAAAATCTCCCATACTTTTGTACACAGCCAGTGAGGAAAAAAAACTGAAATCCCAAACAAAAAAAGCTGAGGAATCTCATCCCTGACTGTTAAAACGAAACGACTTCCAATTCTATTTACAAACCGTCCAAAGTGTTCAAAATACCCTCGAAAAGCACCAAATTTTGACATTTGGATTTTTCACACATGCCTTTTGTTCTCCAGTTTCATTCAGCACAGAAACTTGTCAAACCAGCTTGGGGGCCTACGTGTATACAAAACGTAACCCATTCCTTTGTACATGATCACATCCGAAGAGGGCTACACATGGTTTAAGAACTTGCACAGCTTTGCTGACAACCACATGGGCTGTACACAGTTGGTCGCAATATGAGCGATTCAAAAGACAGTACTCCGCAAACAGGTTCCAATGGAAAAGTCACTGTTTTGCAGTGCATTGTGGGAAACTGTCAACAAATTCTATTACCTGGCTATGCACAGGAAACTTGAATTAAAGCCAATGTTTGTCAGGGAAGAAGATTCCTGAGTGGATTCTGAGTAGCAGTTTAATAACTAATCCATGTTTCTTTCTATAGCACAGAATGTCCAAATCTATCAAAAAAATTTCCCAAGCTGTCTGCTGACACATGCTCAATGCAAATCGTGGCAAGGCAGCCATGCTTTAGTCAACTGTAAACTTGAAAAATGGCTTCTCCATGGCAACCTCTTGGTGGCGCACTGTCTTGTGAAATCGTTCCTATCAATGCTTTCAATATATTGCCCCTAACCCGTCTGTGTTCATAAATCTCCATCACTACCTCTGTATCTCCTACTTCTATTCACCTTGAGTTCGTCGTGAAATCATAAGTTGGAATCTTAACCGTCTTGCCAGCTACAACATCCTCCAACGTCCGCTTGATCAGCTCAAAATCAAAGGAATCTGCAGACCACCAAAAAAAAAGATGCAAGTGACAGAGGCTGCAAACTAAGTCCAGGAAAACCAGTTTTTTGAGAATTTTGAAGGAGAGAAATGCAGAATTATGGGTCATTTTGATTCATTTTGAGGGAAACTTTGGCGAACACCTCACTCTGTTTTTTTTAAAGCCAACTTTCTTGAAGCCAGACAGAGCTAGCGTCAATACCTACCAGGGTGGTCAAAATTGAACTGGCCCTTGAAAGCTTTGGCCTGCTCCCCATTGCTCAGGTCTCGGTAGAAGCTGTCCTGGCTGATGACGGCCACCTTACGCTTCTTGCTGTCGATGTTGCGCTGCCCCAGACGCTCAACTATCTTTGTGCAGACAGAGGACTGACAGAAGAGGTCAATAACACCAGACAATTAATTATTGGCAGGGTCTCTCCTTGGACTGGAATTAAATAATGTCCTTTATTAAGTATTCTTTTCTAGTACTACGTGATTAGTCCTTTTAACAAATGACCCAAGATTTATTTGAACTCTGACCACATCTTTCTATGAATGCTTGATGTTTTGTTTCATTTTCACATCATCTACGCGTAGATTGGAGTTGAAATCTTGTCGGTCGCAAATGACAGAGGACAAGCAATGGTCACCGACCAGTGTCACACCTCAACTGAGTGACGAGTTGGGACCCGCTACTGCTGACCTGTATGGACTGACTGGTGGTGACTTGGTCAGAGCGGTGATCTTGACCAGTGCATTTGAAATCTTCTAGATATGCTTTCAATTTATAAATACCCCAAAGGAGTACAGGCAAAACCAACTCAACTTAGTATGTTTGACAGCAAAAAAACAGTGACTGCCTTATTGTTAGACATCAATTGATGAAATCCAGTCACAGCACCACACACTGACCTCAAACATATGTAAACTGGTTCATAACTGTATATATAATTTTGACAAAGATTTGCTTCGGGATCTATATAGCCTACACAACCCATCAAGTGTGCAAAATCAGAGGGTGTCAGCATCAGGAAATGGGAGGTGGGGAACTCTGGACAGCCAAATGTTACACAGGGGTACATGTAAATGATTGAATAAAAATGCATTATGCCCTACATGTATGTGCTACTAAATTGCTAATTTATTTTCAGTTTTCTTATGTTAATTAAAAGTCTGCTGACTGCGTCACATGTACGACGATACGTGTACATGAGTACCATTCTCAAAAAGACAGCATATATTTGTCTACAGCTACTTCTAGAATACAAAACGTTGAGTTTTGATGAGTTTAGAGGGTCGCGGCATTGAGTATGCTTGTTAATTTCATGACGGCAATGTAAAACTCAGCCAGAGCAAGGGAGTCCTTCATCCTGTTGTGTAAGTCCATGTTTATTTAGTGATAAAAAGAGGAAGTTACAGCTACATTGAACTCATCGATTAAGGGGCACTAGTTGATTTTTTTTTCTTCTTCAGATGTTCACACGCACTAATAGTAGTAGTTGACCCCTATTAAAACATGACCTTGCTTGGAGCTCTGCAATGAGCCCTTGCAAAGTTACAGTGTACCTTTGGTTTGGTAGGCATCTGGTTTCTGCCACTTCTGTTCTATTTTTAGGTACCATTCTTAGACCGGTATCTCTCACTTTTACTTGCGGACTTTACTAACTACAAAAATGCAATTTAAAACAAAACTGAAAGACACCTTCAATTTGCTTCACAGATTATTGAAGAATTTCCTTTTTTCCGGTCTCTTGAAACTTCCTGGCTTCTGATATTCCATACTACCACTGCAAAGGTAGTCTGCAGTGCAAACATGTTAAAGGCCTGCAAGTCAACAGCCAACTTTATGTCACATTAAATATGTGAGACTTGTGTCTTCCAAAGTAATGTTCCGCACATATAAACGTACGGTACATGTATGTAATCCTGACCGCTGAAACTCGATCAAAAGCCATTCCTTCACTTTGGGGAAGTTTGTTGGGCATGGTCCTGCAGTCCTGAGGTGGCCCCATGTTGAGGGAGTTTGACGGACTTGGTCCAGAAGGCCTGAATCAATGATCAACAGTGCTGACGTTGTGTGAGCCATGTAACTAGCATACAAATACATGTAGTACGCGCAAAATTACTACCCAAAATACACCCGAATCACTGAACCAGCTTTATTTGGTGTGTTAAGTTGCCAGATCGAGGCTCTATATGCCTATAGCAACAGCATGCAAAGAGTGAATTGAATCAGTGATGAATTTTGTTCGAAGCAATTTGGATTGCACAGGGAGAGTTGGATTTTTATACATTGGGTCCAGCCAGTGCCCAGTAAACGGAACTACGTAGAATTATTGTTCTAGCATGCCTTTAAGTACATGTACATGCGTGTGACTGCACATTCATGTACATGACTTCACTTACAGTAAATGTGGGCTGCTGTACAGTTTTTGAATGTCAATCCCACACTGATGAGAACACAAAATATTTAGCCAAACTGTTCAACACGGTTCTTCCTGAGGGCCGAGCACAAAGTATGTTGAATGTCCCCTCCAAGGAGCTGCATGAAGCCAAAATGAAATACTAAAAGACAATCAACTGGCGAGAGCCTCCAGATTCTCATCCCAAGAACTGTACAGGCAGACAGGAAACTTTTGAAATGGAATTGTCACAACACCTGTTCCGTGTTCACAGATGTTTTGTGACTTAAAGACGACCTCTCTGCCATCCAGCTGCAGAGAAGAGCAAGGATGTGCTGTCCATCCATAAAACGGAGTCCACAGGAGCCAGGTCCGCCCTCCCAGGAGTCCCAAAATACCTCTTTTAATTCAAAGGCCTCAAGCCAAACAAATCCACAGGGGGGCGGCGATTCAGCCGCTCCCTAAATGGACCAAAATGACCACAGCGCCTTGTCACGCTTGTGGTTTGGGGGGGGAGAGGGACAAGGCTGCACTTAGTAATATCTTTCTGGTGATTCATGATATCTCCTTGCATACATTTCCAGAGGTCACCGTCTGGGCAGTAAGCAGAATCAAAGAACACTGGATTGATGAAAATAAACCATCTTCAGCACTGGGGAAAAATGCTTTTTTTCATTACCAGAGACCAGATTTATTTGAAGCCTTCTTACTCCTTTGCTGCACCTCCAACTGATCTTGACTGCTGAGTAGAACCGCTGCCTTTTTGTTTTTGGTCATAAATTAAACCCTAATCCTTTACCAAAAAAGAATTCATGTGGTTCCATTCTCCCCACTCCTTTTTTGGCCTGATATGAATGCACGTGTGCTAATCAAACAGAGAAGCCGGAAAAGCTAATGCAATGTTAGTGTATAAAATAAACAGATTTTTTTTTTCAGGGTTTTGTTCTCCATTTGAAGAACAGCAACCTGGTGGTGAGTGTTTCTGAAGTTTGTATTTTGAGAAAACAGGCCTGATTAACTAGTTTTTTTTGTTGTTGTTGACACTACGCTAATATTACAGACACAAACCTGACGAGGTAATGGCTCTTTGCACAACCCCCCCCACTTTGTCGCGCGTGCCAGCAATTTTAGGTTCATCCTGAAGTGTATTGTCTCTCTGGTCGACTGCGTGCAAATCGATATGATACAACAATCACTTTATTACAAGTGCTCGGTTACTTTGGTTTTGCCAGTGGTCTATGGTCAGGTTTCATGGACCATGCGCAGATTTCAGCTTTTTTTGTCTAGGGAAGGAAGAACTGCCATGGAAGTGTCAAAAGGCCAAGCGGACGGGGGAAAAAGCCTCTCTTGACTAAAAATAGATCAGGTTACAGACACAAAAGGGGCTGGCCAAGCTAGTAAAGGGCATTGGCATTTCACTGTACAAAGATCATTTGTATGGTCATTCAGGGATGAGAAATAATCAAAATTGAGAAAATATTATAATAATGTCAGTAATAACCACTTCGGGAGAGAGCATCTTTTAGTGGTAACAAGACAACTGGTGTTAATCCCACATGCACTGTAAAGACAGAGAGAGGAGGGCGGATGAAATGAGTTCTGGTATTTTAATCTCATAAAAGAATTTGTTATTTTAGCTGCCTGATACTATGACAACTTCTATTGGAAGAAGTCCGATCATGCCAGCATGATGTGGAAAGATGTACATGTACATGTATGAAAACACATGGGTAAATCCAGAAATTAGGGGTCCAAAAGTGTGACATTTTTCGTGTCACTGTTACATCTAACCTTTGTTATTTGACATGGAAATATCACCGGGATTGATTTCAAACTGTTACCATTTGTTTGGCAGATAATTTGCATTAATTCATCACTCTTGGAAATTAGAAAATGTGTTATGAACTTACAAAATCGTATGTCAGATGTTACAGGGAAACCCAAAAAAAAAAAAATGGACCCCTAATTTCTGAAATTACCAACATCAAAATTTTCAGAGTCTGCAGGATTTGGAATCTGTGTCACAATTAAAAAGGAATCTTAAAAAAAAATTATTTTCAAAAAAGTTTTTTCCCCAGAAGCATTTTTAAAAATGGTGCTTGAAATTCTGGTGTCAATTCTAAAAAAGGAAAGGGTGGGTCTATTAGTCCTGGGATGTTAAATGACCGATTTGTTGGTAATTTACAGGTAGACATTATGGTTTTGTGTTCAATATTGCATCACAATTCAATAATTAGTTGTCTAGTTATATGAAAATTGATAATATTGTAGATTCGTGATATGTATTTTTATTCTCTGCTTGACTTTTTTGATGTCAACTTATGTAAATTATACTTGTGTTCATGCGTAATTCAACCTTTGGTTGCGAGAGATGATACATGTACATGTATCCACGAGTCACCACAATCTGCGCACTTCGTACTTTGACCAAACTTTATTCTTAAATACACTAAATTTTCATGGCTTCATTTTCAGTAGTTCAAAGTTTGACTTAAATCCTACACAGAATAATATGAAGAACATCAGATGTCACCAAAGCAACAGGAACAACGTCGTCTGCAAACATGTCAGATCGGCTGTAGTAAAACCCATGTCACCATAATTCGCACAAGTACGTTGCAAATGTCATTTTGCTGGGTATCGGTAATGCCCTACTTCTGAAAAAACTGCCAGTTCTCTTGAATGAGGAATTAATTTTTTGCATTAATTACTTTGGTTTAGTGATGCAGTTTGAGGAAAAAAAATTTCATTCGCAATAGCTTGACCTCCCATCACTTTCTCTTTTTCGTTCTCCTAGATTGTTTTCAATTTAATTTGAAGTAAGAGTGAGGCATTAATTTTCATTCTTTCAAATAAATCATAATCAAAATTAATATGAGTAATTTATCTGGATATGATGACAAAACTTCTCTTTCTACAGGTATTTCTGAAAAAAAATCACAAAATACAGTGCCAGCGAATCCGCGCACGTCATCACCAACGGGAATCTCAAAATATATGCTGCGCAGTACTTTTTCACGCTCAATATTTTGGTAACGCCCTCAATATTTGGCAAAAGGTGATCCAAGTCGTCATAAGTGCCCGTATCTACCATCTAATATCGGCCATATACAAACAACAATCATTTATCCGTTTTCAAGACAATTTTAATCAATTCATTTTGAATTTAGTCTGTAAAGCAAAGCTTTTGCTCAGTTGACATTTTTCCCGAGTTCTCCCTGGAAAAGCTTTTAATTCGCATATACAGCAGCTGCAACAAGAAAAATGTCGAAGTGACAATCGATCATCGACAGTAAATAACATCAGTGCATAATTTCACTGAAGAGCTTCCCGATGAGAAAGTTGGATGCCTGAATATTTGTATGCACAAATTTCAGGTACTCCACGATATTAATAAACCTGTCTTTGAATTGATTTCAAAACCCTGACATATGTACATGTAAACCAAAATGAGAAAACTTTGCATTAAACTTGATAAGTGGGTTTACCGTTACATGTACTGGGTCATTCAAAACATTTGGGGTCCACAAGTGTGACATTTTATGTCCCTGATACACCTGGCCTGTGTAATTTGACCAGGAATATCATCTGAATTGATTCCAAACAATATTTCTATTTGTTCGGCAGGGAATTTGCATTAGGGTAATTCCAGAAATTAGGGGTCCAAAAATGTGACTTTTTGTGTCCCTGTTATATCTAACCTTTGTTATTTGACATCGAAATATCATCTGAATTGTTTTCTAATTATTTCCATTTGTTTGGCAGGTAATTTGCATTAATTCATCACTTTAGGAAATTGGAAAATGTGTTATGAACTTACAAAATCCTATGTCAGATGTGACAGGGACACAGAAAAACAATTGACCCCTAATTTCCGGAATTACCCATGAGTAAGGCCAAAAAAAAAAGGTGTCTGGTCAGACCAAAGTTTCAGAATTGATGCGACATTGCTTGTTTTTTTTCTCGAGGGGGTTAGGTGGCTTTTTAAGACTGGCAACGGACACAGAAATGAATGGCATATTTGATCAAAGAGCAAGGCTGGTGGTAGCACGTCAGGCCGCCTTTGTTGCTGATCAGCTGGCTGCAACTTTGTAACCTACGCATGGTCGACTGTGTGTGTTTGACATCAACATTATGCAGTCGTAACCGGATCTATCACCGGGTACAAGCTACCCACGAATTAGTCTGGTTCCTTGAACAAATTGCCCTTCGAACTTGTAGACTTGAATCAGTCTACTCTCAAACATTCAGGTGATGCGAAAATAAAGGACGCTGTTTTGAAAATTTTGAAAAAAAAGGAAAAAAAAAATAATTGGCACACACGCTCAAATCGACGTGCGCGGTGACCAGAGACCAATTTTTTTTGTGGCTAAGTCACGCATTCTTGAAAATTAAAGAACTTACCGGTACAAATCATGTGTCAGCTATGACGCGCATACACACACAAAATAAACTTTAAATTTATAGAATGACCCAATTATCAATTTTTCATTCACATGAAGACTTCTCAGCACAGTCCATAGGCATAAATTCACACTATGCAATGCCTGTCGAAGAGGTTTATTTCATGCGCTATCCTTCATTCAGTATGTTAAAATTTCTTAAAATTAAAAAAGGAGAGTCATGTGTAAATGTCCTAACGGGATCTTGAACCTGGCATGTAAACTTTTTCAAGACACCAAGGGAAATTTTCGCGATGACACAGTACCTGTACTGGAAGAGTAGAATATATTACTCTGGTATGTTTGGTGACCTTGCTTTTCCAGAGAAGTCAAAGATAAAAAACAAAGAAATCTAAGCCACCCCCAAACAAAGAAAAATTTGTATTGCCCTGCAGTTGTTGGATCGGGAAGGGATGAGTATATTGTTTTCATTCTTTATATCTATAGTTTACTGTCTGTTGGAGTTTGTTGGACTGTGTACTGATCCAGCATGTGGAGTGTTGGAATCCGGCAGGTTGAGTGCATACACCCCACCAAGCAGCAAAAGGGTATTGGAAATTGACAGGATGAGTCAGCCTTCTAGAAAAAATGTTGAGGGGGTTAGGGTTTTAATTATTCTAATCAATATGAAACAGCCCACTGCAAAATTAATGACAAAAATGCTGCAGAAATCTGACAGGAAAAAAATGCATCAAACACATTTTTAAAGTTCAAACTGAAGTGTGCTTTTTCAAATTGGCCTTGGAATTGTTAACTCTTTCGCCAACAATTTTGTGTAAACACTACAGAAATTTCAATCCATTGAACAGGTTTTAACTTGGATTTATCTTTTATGAGGAGGAAATGAAAAGTCCCAGTTCATTAATTACTCGACAAAAAAAGGATTAATTAAATGAAAAGAACAGACGAAAAAATTAGGGCAGGTGAGAAAAAGGGAGCAGGCAGGACAAGAAACCATTACATCTCAGCCTTCCAACAAAATGAACAATTTGACTTAATTCTCCCAAACTGAAAGTACTGAAAATACCTGATCCATGTTTGATCCCTCAGCCTAAACATGGCCTAAAAACAATGGTCAAACCATGGGTCCTTACTCTATGCCCAAACAGAGAGTCCAAGCATTTGTCACATTCCTGTCTGGTTAGCTGCACTCAAAGTGCAGTTGTAGGCCTATTTAACGGCCAACCAGGGAGCAAGGAAACTTGCTAAATGAACAACCAAGAGATATACAGCAGAATACACATCTGGTTCATTGTGAGTCTTTCTTAGTCATCAATCTCAAGTTACATGTTTATCAGATTTCATTAAAAATATGCTCCATATTTAGTTTCGTATAACATGATCGCCACCAAACCAATGTAACAGACTCCACCTGAAGATTTTTGAATTGAATTTCCATTGGCACTAATTATAAAATTAAAACCATGTAAAATTAACAATTAACATGATGGCTAACATCATGTACATCATGGTCCGAGCTTGGCATATTGGCCTAGGGAAAAGCTAAAACTAAGTTGAGTGAGGGTTTTCAGTACAATTTGTCAAACCTTCCTTGTGGGAGTTTATAAAACTGGAAAACTGTGGTGGCCAGGTACATAATACTCTTTTCAACAGAGTACGCAACTCTTACAAAACAAAATGAAGTTTTCCATCACCACGTGGCAGTGAAACAGCATTGATTACACTGGTAATTGCTTTTTTCTTTTGTAAACAAATTGAAAGACCGGGACCTAGATTTACGTTCACCATGAAACCCCGTTTCAGCTGGAGGCGGCAACCAGACCCCCCTAAAATCCAACACGTGTTGCAACGTTGCATCACATTATAATTCTGCGCGGTTCTTTGTTCGCACTCCACGTCAGAGAAAAAAAACGCAACGCAGTTTTTATGAGACTAATTTCACAATACAAAAACAGGTCAAATTTTTAATAACGAGCAAACTTGTTACTAAAACCCTTACCTTCCCCGATGCAGTCCCTCCACTGACGCCGATGAGAAACGGTCGCCTCATCTGGCCATTTGTGGATGAAGTTTTTCCGTTCCCAGAGTCCTGCAAACCCCGACCCGCCATCTTGCAGTATGGACTCCATGTCGTGAAAACCGCGCAATTTTATTTCAGCATGGGCTCCTAAAAGCCTTTGATTGGGCGTCACGTGGCAGCGTGAGCGCATAAAGTAAATGAACCATTCGTTGATCAGCCTTTTTGGGCGGAATATAACGGTCATAACGAAACCGCTGTAAGCCTGTGTAAGGTTTATTTTTAGAATGCGTGTTGCCGAGGTGTTGTACTTGCCAACAAAAGCTTACTTCAACTAGAATGATAAGTAACACGCAGTGACAAGGAATACGGTGTACGAGTTCATCATTGATTCGCTCCGAGAGGCCAAAGGATACACTTTCCTGTCATCTATTATAAGGCCTGGGGAACATGACTTTATAATCCAGCTTTGGTTAGTTTACTTTGGGAAATTTCAGATTTTTTTCGGGGGGGGGGGGGGGTTATATGAACAACTAGGAAGAAAAATGTAGCTAAAGGGATCGGAAAAAACCATAGCTAGGGGCCCAGTCC